TGTACATGTAGGCACAAGTTATATACATGTAGGCTTACACGCATATGTACAGGTAACCAACACAACATAGAAAATCATAAGAACTACATACATGTATGTGTTGTTATTAACAAGATTTCTTGAAGGTAAAAGGTCATGTTTTACTGCATCTTTAGTTTTTATTAATCTGGTTTGGTTGAAAAAATGGGATTTAGTCGCGTGTGTTGCTATCTACAACCATCTGCTGTCTACATTTAAAAATTCTGTAATCACTCAATCAGTGAATTACAGGTACATGAGGATAAGCATGTGCAGTACTTAATCTATCAGTGACTTCTTTAGAGAAATTCATTAACCTCTTCTGGCTGAAAAATGAGAAAAAATATTCAACATCTATGATGTACAAGTACTATTAACTATTTTGTGTGGCTTCATGTACAGGTACATGTACATGTATCGGTATATGCATGCAATACACAAGTCCTTATCTTAAGTGTGGAGTCATCCTTTATCTTGTAGCAGTTTGATACCGATAACTCTGTATGCTGTATTTCAAGATGGCTGTGGGCTGTAAGGGATGGTTTAATAATCACAGAAGATTCGGAGAAGAGTGAGAGGACTTTCCAAGGTTACTTGTGGTTCTGTGACATTTCAGCCTGTTACCAACTTGTCCAGATCGAAAACAGATGTCTGAATATTTAATACAGCTTTAACTACATGTAACTTGTCTGCAGGACAAGTTCACAGTGGATTTTTTCGCTGTCTTTATAATGTCAAAATATACATCAAACTGATGATTTTTTTTGTTTTTGGCCAAGAAAAACTTGTCCATTTTACTTAAATTTACTTTAGACAAGTGTAAATATGAGTGATTTATAAAAGTGGGCCACCAAGAGTTTGCAACACTTTGGCCAATCAGAATGCGTGAAATTTGTCAACCCTTTTCAAACGTGCATTGGGTTGACAAATTTCGTGCATTATGATTGGCCAACAGGCTGCAAACTCTTGGTGGCACACTTTTGTGAAACGGCCGTATTGTAATAGAGTGCGCTTGTAAATTAACGTGCTGCACAGGTATTCATTTCTGTGCATTTACAGACGGTTTTCTAAAACTCTGCTTCATCTCAGCCTCAGGCTTGCCTCTGTAGTCAAATCAGTCTGGCCCTGCTACATGTACATGTATATGTATGCATGTACGGTCTGGCAAGATTATCTGAATCATTTAGCAATTTCAAAGTCAGGGTTTAAAATCCTCCGATGCCTGAGATGGAGACCGAGTATTAAAACTAGTCAATATTGCACATCTGTGATTGTTCATTGAACACTGCCCTCTGTTGACTGAGTTATTCCAAGTATGCAATGGCAACCTAATGACCAGTGAAAGAGGTAGTGATTGAACACTCTCACCAATAAATCAAAGCTGTTTCCAGATAGAGCAGCTTGTAATCACGACGCTATGATAGTGGCTGCATCATGTAATATGATTGGTAGAAGTTTGCAGATTATGGCTTCATAATAATTTATATATTAGTTTATTGTGAATGGGTGACAGAGCAGGTGTGCTCTATACACATGCACCACCATAGTGTCATTTTTAAATTAATTGAAGCTTATCTTATCTTATAGGATAGGTTGCCGTAGTGATGAAAACTCCTAGGAAATGAATAATGAGTTACTAATTACAGCTAATCTTACCTTTCTTGATCTTGTATTTTTCTGTCACACCCCAGTGATGGTGAGACACTGCCGGTAGTGTATGGGGTCAAGGGAAGTACAAGAGGAAAAAATGACAGGTGTTTTAAAATAATAAATGCCATGTGCCAGGAAATACAAAAATGTAATCTGTGTGATATTCTTTAGTTCTGATTTTTGGCCCAAATATTTTTGGGAAACCTGAGGAAAACTTGTACGGATGTTTAATCAAAGTAAAGACTTAATAAGTATTTACTTTGCTTTGAACAATGTGACATACTGTGTTCTCTGTATGAAAAAAGGCCCTCTTGTGACAAACCTGTTAGGAAGCCTCACTTGGTGCTGTCATCATGTGATTAAAGCTCTTGCTGCTGGCATGTCATGTGCGCCTTGACAGATGTCTTAAATATATCACGATGGGGCCACAGAATGGTCAAATGATGTCAAACTGTCACAAATTATGCATACCCTGCGGGATTTTTCTGTCTCGATGCCATCAACAGCTGTCATTTCTGTACATGTACATGTACATGTATAACGTGACACTGTCAGTGACACATGACCATGACCTTAACTTAATGCTAGGTCATTACCACCCCTAAACCCCCTGCTGTTGTGCAATCTGAAGGTCCATGTTTGTCATCACTTTCTATACTCCATGTACATGTAGCTGAGGATTACTCATTAATTACCTGGTAGATAATCTTGTAACCAGAAATGACACCTGCTTGTCTGTACTTATACCTATGTTTGGGCTTTGCATTAACTGTACATATGCATGTACAGTAGTCACGCAAAGTGTAGCTACCAGTAGCTGGACCTTGGAATAACATTGAGCCACCATCAGAAACATTTCTTAGTAGTGAGTGGAGAGATGGTAGCAATCAACAGGCATTTTACGGTTTATAGAATTATTTTAATTCTGTTTGGGTTTTGCAGAAGTTTTCTTTGTTCAGTTTATTTATGGGCTTCACATTTATCCCAGCTTGGGGGGTTTGGTTCTGATTATGAGTAACTTGCTAGTACAACCCATGGCAGATGGTAGGCTCATGCTATGCTTCATAGACATTATGCCTGGATGCCTAGAGGATTAACCAATGCTATCATGCATGACATATTAAAATCGGCACTATGTACACAACAGGGTAACCCTGGAGAGAAGGCAACCATGAACACACGATGAAATTGAGATCTTTTCGCCTTGTGTCTTAGCAAGAAAAGATGATGTAGTCTTCATCTGTTGGCTTAGGGATGATGGACAGATTTCTGCTTGAATTCTATTGAGAGACTTACGGTACTTTGACACCTTTGTGGGATCATCTTAGAACGAGGAGCATACGGGGACTGTTTGGAATATTCTTACATGTACATTAGATGTACTGTAAATGAGATTGTCTAACACTTCAATAAATGGAAACACACATGTACAAAATAAGATATTCTTGTACTGTTCTGCGTAAAGTAAGAGTAAACTTTCCCAGTTGAATGTGAGTTTACCCGAAGACTGTCCAATCTTTCAAATTTGTTAGGTTCTGCTTCAAATTTGCACCCCTCACTGAAAAGGACAGAGAGAAAAGAAAGGTGTATTATGAATTTGAAGTGTACAGTACTTGTAGACATTTACGTTGTTCATTGTAAGCAGTACAGTGGTCTAGGCCTGGGGTTCGATTCCTCTCTCATGTAACACGTTCAAGATTAACATGTGTCTCGGTAAAGAACATGCATACCACCACAGCCCCCCCCAAAAAACCTCATACAAATTGTTGTTACGGGAAAACATACCTCAGAAAGATAGAAACAAAATGATGCCAAACACAAGATTTGGTAAGGTCCTTGCCTATACATGTACATGAAGTATACTGTGGTAGGAAGGCAAGAGTTTTGGGTACGTTCCTGTCATGTACGTGTACACTTTTTGGTGTCCCTGTACATTTTATACCGCAAAGTACGAGGTGTACTGTGTACCAGTAAGCACCAGTATCTAAGGAAATGATATGATTTAATTCACTGAAGTAATGCAGTGGTAGTTTCCCGAGGGTAAAAAAAACAGGAAATTGTAATAGATCTACATGTATGTTGTAGTTTACATTGTACCTGTACATGTACGTGGACCAAGATTGTTAACGTTCTCAGAATTTGGGGAAATGTTTCAATTTCTACTCTGAAATGTCTGGCATTGTCACTCCTGAAGAATTCCATATTCAATTGATGTTGTCTTGTTCTACAATTAGCCTGTCTGTAGTTGTTTTGTTTTTTGGGGGTTTGTTTTCCTCTGCTGGTTCCTGTTGCCTTGTTTTTTTTTTACATTTGGTCTTGTCAAGGGTAACATACCTTCATGTGATAGACAGCAAAAATGTATGCAATAAGAAAGTCTGTCTAAGATTTGACCTACTGCAATCTACAGTAATATGTGTTGACCAACAAACCTGAAAATATTTTTTGGTCCAGGGGCTGTAATCTTTTTTTAATTGCTTTGTTATTAAACTCTTTGTGAGGAGGCTTACCGGAAGTTTATGCTGCCGGTAGCATGTTTTTTATACTGCTTGTACATATTTACCGGTACATGTATAACTTTTTTTTTTCTAGAAATTCTGTCTCAACTACCGGTACCTGTGTATCCTGGTAGTCTAATGGTTATATCAGTCCCAAGTTTTGTTTCCATGGTACCGGCTAGCTAATTAGGGTCGAAGGAAGGAGATTGTGGTTAAACAGGGAATTTGAAATTTTCAACTACACCCTGTAGCTGGACCTGTTTATTTGAGCAAGGTGCTATAAAAGTGAAATAAAAGGGAAAGCTAGGACACAAACTCACTAGTGACTGAAAGCAACTTATGCACAGCATGCTTGATATTTTATGTGAGTGTATGGTATGTTCCATCCAGGGATTGTAGGCTTCATGCACCAGAACATGGTAGATAGGACGATGTGATGTGGCTGTTTTGTACAGTAGTTAAGTACCAGTACTTGTACATGTACGTGTATGTTTTGCACACTACCCCAAATCTACTGCTAAATATCAACAGCAGTAGAGACTTCTAAATTTGGTAGAATTGGACACTAAGTACATGTAGACTGCCTTGCCACTTCTATAATTTTTGTCATTGGTAAATTGTTCTCTGATTTCTAAAGTACATGTGTAAGTGTCATTTTTAGGGTTGGCCTGTTTGTAAAAATCCTGTACCTTGGGGTGTGGTTTAATGAGTGGTGTAGGCACAGCCCACTAATTTCTGCAACTCGTCAAAACTTGTCATTTTTAAGCAGAGCTGTCATTTCCTGGCAGACAAAGTGACTGGTAGATTATGCAAAGCAAGCCCAGCAATCTTGGAGGAAGTTGAGTCAGGAAAAGTGGTGTCACTCCAGCCTTGGTTCTGCCATTAGCTCAGTCACGTATTGAGAACGTTAGGTACACATACATTGTAGATTTAGAGGCTGAGCCAATGTGAGTTTGCCAGGTACATGTACAATGTAGTTTAGTGAAAAGTTGCTTGCCCATGTTCAGCTCATGTACTTGTATGGCTTTGCTGTTGACATTTTGTGCTGAAGCACATGCAGCTTTAAACTTCCTATTTGGTACTGAACAGAGGTTTCTCTTGTGTAGTTGCTGTGCAAATCTTCTCAAAGATATAGGCAGGTTCTTTTGTTGAAAGGTAAGATTCAGTGTGGTTTTATAACTGACCTCAAAATTGATTCATTGATTTCTTCTTGTGTTCTGTTTTCAGTTATTAGAATGTTCTGTTGTGTGCTTACACATTGTGGTTTAAATTTCTGTAGGTGATGTTTTTTTGATTGACAGGCTTCATCGCTGATATCTCTAATGATGTACATGTGCATGTAATTTTGTCTTCTGGAGCCCTCATGTTGCTTTGTTGCTTTCAGATAAGAAGTTCCACACACTTCCTCTCCCCAAACGGAACAAGGAGAAGAAGAAGACACCATCAAAAGACGATTCTGAGGGTGTGACAAGGAAGAAGAGCTTTGTAGACATGACACGACGTAAGCTAAGCCGTGGTGTCAAGGACCAAGCTGTAATTGAACCATTGCGACGTAAAGTAGGTGTAGAAAAGGTCAGTTCGTGCCTTTATCAGTAATTTTACAAGGATTGGTATGGCTGTCTGTAGTGTCTTGACTTGCTAATCATCTTGCTGTTCAGCAGGACTCTACTTACCACTAATCATTTATCTCGAACTTGTCTTTCTGAATTTTCATTACCTTGCAGTACTCGTTGTAACGTATATGTACATTGACATGTACATGTATGTAGTTCATTGTCAGGCCATTTATTAGATGTTTTGGTTACCAGTAATTGTAACATCCATGGCTTTTATTCAAACTTCAGATATTTCCAAAACAATATCAGATTTTGAATTCATGTCACATGTATAATGATAAGCCATGGCCCTACTGGATCTTGTTGAAATCAATGCTAGTTCATTTGTAAAGCAAATAGTGCCAGAATTCCACATTGACACTTTTGGTTTTAAATTTCATTTTGCTACGTGCAGATTCTACTAATTGCTTTTTATAGGATTTGCGTCTGTGTATTATTTTAAAGAATCTGCTTCCTTGTGGAGCATTTCAGGAAATGATGAAAAGGTATTTCACCAACTCTGTAATCACAGCAGAATGTAAACATGACTGTATTTGTTTTGGATGCTGTGCACTACATGTATATATCAATAATCAGTTGTGTACATGTACATGTGTGCATCAAAATGGACCATTTATCCAAATCTCTAATCACGTAAAATTATTATAGAGGTTTTGTGTAGTAGCTACATGTATCTTGCTGGGCAGTTCTTATGTTCCACAGGGAAACCTTGGTACATACTGGGTACCCTGTGGAGTAAAAACATTGGCCTGCAAGATGACAGCCGTGCAAATCCTCTGTTGTCTCATAGAACATAACCAACTTGATGTCAACATGCTCAGTTTCAAAAGTGCACTGTGCTTGTTACTGGACTCAGTAGTACTACTGTCTCTTGTGCAACTCATAAAGCAGACTGCTTTTTTCCAACTGTCTTTTTGTATATTCTTTCTTCAATATTATTAACAGGACATGGACAAACTGCAGGGTTCAGAAAAATCAGTTATGGTGGCTCTCAAATGGTTTCTGGGTAAGTACAGAGATCATTTGTTGTGTGATAATTTTATATTTATTATTTTAATTGTACAATAAGCAAGGTAGTAGAATTGCCTGTTTTTTTCTAGAAATACCCAGACAAATGACTTTGCTTTTGCAGAGATGATTTAGAATCAAACTGAAAGAATACTGTTTCAGTTTTGTTCCGTTCTGGGCTCTCTTGCAGTGCAGAAATCTCCTGGAAATGTTGCATAGTTTTGAGAGTTGTGGGGGGTTTTCAGGAAGGTCAAACATGTAATCAGGTCATGATGCTCTTGAACAAATTCTGAGACTTTAGAAATGTACAGTTTCTCCCTGTGGGTTTAACTCTCTTGACCTCTTCCAGCATTTCCTTAAGTTTTAAATTCTTTTCTTTTATTACTGTAAACCAACGTTGCTGATATCTGGCTGTTTTTGAGATTGGTCGTTCCTTCCACTGACACAAGTTCGATGTAACAGTTGTTTGAGAATGCCGTAGTTGCACTACCAAGGAGTGCAGAACTTTAGAGTTGTAAGCTCTTTCATGTATTTGTAAATGATTTTCACATGAAGACTATTTCCGTGTTATTTTGTGCTTATTCCAGAGGTAATTCAGAAGGATACATTGATTATGCTCCCAGGCAGTACAACCAAAGTCCTACAAGAAGTCATGGAACTCAACCAGTGTCTTAATCAGTGTCTAAATAATGAAGAAAGGTAAGATGACATTTCCACATTATCATGGTAACTGAAGTTGCCATAGATACTGAACTTAAAACTAAAAAGTTTCAAGTAACATTGTCATGGTAGTTAAGGTTCCATCAAGAAACATTGATCTGGTAACTAACTTTTTATGTAGGAGCACTTACCTGGGTTGAGTGTTATCATGGTTATTTTCTCCAGAAATGTTACCCTGATTGCTTATACTTAGAGAATGTTACCATGGTTACTACTAAAAGTATTCTGTCAGTGTTGCATTGAGTGCTGAGGTTACGTTGAAAATGCAGCGTTAGTAATTAAGGTTACCTAAAAGAAAATCATTGATATTCTATTGATCAAAGTTCAGTTGATTGTTTGGAAGCATTGCATTCACATTGTGTGAGTGTTTTTCAGTCTCAAAATGCTTAAAGGTTATTTAAGCAACATTTACTAATTTCGTTTCTTTAGAGAGAAGATGTAACTTGTGAATGAGTTGACACAGAATGTACCTGTAGATAATGTTGGATTATTCATGACATTTTTACGGTATGTGTACATCAAGGCACATAAGGATTTACCTTCTATACACTGGGATGACGTTGAGCTTTTTTTTTTTACTCATTCAAGGTAGTTTCCTGAAAAAGTTTGTAATTAATATTTCACTAACTACACAACATGTTCCACAAAGGAAATTGCACCGTCAACTTTTTAATACTCTGTGACAGAGGACATTGTATTAATAACAGGGTTTCTCCCTATCAAAAAAGAGACTGAAAGGAAAGTTTATATGAAATTGTAGACGGTCATGGCACTTTTCTAAAACTGTGTGGTTTCCTGCGTGGGTTTGTAAAAAGGTAGCAGGTGATTCATAGATGTATCACTGTCAGTTGGGTGGGGCATGGGGGAGAGGGGCATCGGGGATAGTAAGAGATACCATCCTGTCAACACTTACATGTACAGTTGGAAGAGCTTTTGGATTTCAAAACAAAAGGTAATTTGTGTCATACACAAGTTAGAATTGCAGGATCCAAAATATCTGCCCAAGAACCTTGTAATGGTGTGAATTGTGACAGTTTTCTCCCTGCAACTGTTTGCAGTACCATTGAGACAAATATCGTCTCTTTTGATTTGAATGCCAGTACTTACACATGTGTTTCTTTCTCTGAAGGAAATTCACAATTCCTTTGTAACAGTTTTAAGATGGAAATTGGTAGTTGTTTGCCTGGCAGTTTTACAGATGTTTGAGTTTAACCTTCAAATTTAGTTGAAAAGTGTGTTACTTTTCTCCCTTTCATTTCAAGTTCAATGCTTATGTCATGCCACAACCAAGTCTATCAAAGCTTAGCTAATCTCATCTACTGGGCAGACAAGATCGTCCTGTATGGAGAATCATCAATGAATAAAGATGAAGGAAGTGAAGTCACTGAGGCAGTGCGCTCAGGCATTGAGGAACTAGTCAGGCTTTATCTTGAGAAGCTTAAAGACAGACAGAACAAACTGGCAGCTGGTATGGAAGACCAGCAACAGGTCCCTAAGCCAACCATTGAAAACAAGGAGTAAGTTATGGACTCATTCTTGGTACTAGATGAGCAATTGAAACTTTAGAATAACAAAAGTTTCCAAAATATTTGATGAGTTTTAGCAGATGATCTGCCAATTAACTTACATCTAGGAAAATTAGCCAGAAGGTCTTTTCCAAACAGAAATTTGGTATCTAATTTCTTCTTTTGTTTGCTGTGTGATTTCAGCGATGCGTATGAACAGAGACCTCTAAGTCCCAGGGAACAGGAGATGTTACATCAATCTCCAATCGGCCAGTGGTTTCCTGGGGCTACTGATAGCAGTTTAGAGACAGGTGACATTGCTCCACCTAAACCACCTTTGCCAAGTCAGAGGATATTGGTTACACAAGTTGAGGGGTAGGTATTTGTTTCATGTAAAGTGAGAGAAAAATCTCACACCAAATTTGGAAAAGCAGTCCACTTTTCTGGTGGTATAAAAGGAAACGCTTATATTTTTGTGCTCGCCTATGTGCTGTAATGTATTATTTGAACTGGTTGCCTTAAAATATCTATTGTTAAACCGGTAATGACAAATAGAACCAGTGCATGTTTCTGAGCAATCTATGTGACAAGCCAGATAGCAGCAGAGGTTGTGACCTTGCGATAGAGGAAGGAAGAAAGAATTTGACCCTTGATGGTGTAATGAACAGAAATCAACCTGTACGTACATGTGAGCTCATAGAATCAGGAAGCCAACCGATGGATTGATTTAATGCCAGTCGTGTCAACTGTCTTTAGTGAAGAAAATACTGTCATTTTTTATCCTACTTTTGTCATCTTCCCTTGTGTTTTGAGTTTTATAAAAAAAAGTCAAAGTTAGAAACTAGATCTCCCTTACCAAAACCAGAACAGAAAATGCAAAATATGGGAAATGTAAGAGGAATAAATGATGCATTACAGAGTAATAACTGCAGCAAAAACCTTGTATTTCAAACACATGGTGACACTGAGCATTATACAGTGGATGACTTTAAGAAGTTCCATAATTATTCGGGGGGAGGGGTTGAATCTCAACACATGCATGAGATAAGGTTTGATATGTGTTGTAAGCATATAACATTCATCTGTTTTAACTATCAGTATCAGTCTGCATTGGCCTACGTGACAAAGGAAATGGAGCTGTATTGTAGGAATAGCGGTAGCATGCAGTCAGAACCTGGAAGAATATCAGTGACTTGATATGTTCAACAAAAAAAAAAATGCTTGAAGGGATCTGTCAGTTCGTGCATCTTGATTCTTGAACTGCTGCAATTAAGATTGGTATCTATGAAGCAAGTTAAAGTGGTTGGAGGATGGAGCTAACCTCCTAGGGTGCATGTAAAATCATATTGAAATCGGAGGATTTGGGACAAATGCAATGCATACGAGTACGTTTCTAACCCACTCTGCAAAAATGAGTCACATGTTGCTAGAGCCACTTTTGAGTGAAAGGCCTTTGAAAGAATCTTGCACAATGTTTAAGTAACAGGAATCCTCAACATTTTAGCATCTACACAACATCCATTTTTATCATACCAACCTGACTTGACACCTCAAAACAAAGAGCTCACTCAACTCAAAAAGTGGCTCCAGTGACTTGTGACTCATTTTACGGAGCAGGTCACGTGATGTTTTTTTAAATTTATTTTGGCTGCAGTATGTTTTCTTGGTAGGACAGAAATGTTGTAATTTCTGTTGATTTCTCCATATTTTTACCATTTTAAATGTTGGTTTGGTAAATATTGTCTCAGCTGTTTTTCACAATATGTATTATTGTTTGGAGTTCTTGGCTCTTATGGTTCAAATCCAAATAAAATTTCACTTAACCTTGGTTTTTGTCGAATACAACAAAACCTGAAACATGGGCTAGCTAAATCTATCAGATTATGTTGACTTGAATAATGAAGGCCCTTCTCTTCCTTATTTGGCGGAGCCTTAGTCAAGGGTGTCCATCCTGAGTTGAATTGCACCCTCAGCGGTGAAAGAAAGACAGACTGGTACAAAGTTTTCCAACTGGATACTTGCGTGCAAAGATCATATATTTTAGAAAAAAATTCATTATGGCTACTCAGCATGCTCCACATCAAACTGCGTGTCTATGTGGTGAGTTTGTACCAAATGACTGTCCTGCCCTCTTTTGTTCCCGCTTGTAGCAGATACGGTATATGTACTTGCAGATTGGTTGTTTATGATTGTTCCTTTTCTCCCAATAGTGATCCACCGCCACTCCCACCTAAGAGGCGTAGTCGTATTGAGCGTCGTAACTCATTATATGACAATGCATCAGATGATGGAACATATCCTCAAGACTTATCGCTAGACTGTTCAATTTCTGGCAGTTCTGCCTCTGTTACGAGTCAACATTCAAATATGAGTAATGGTAGTTTCCACAGCCGTCCTGACTCCATGCTGAGCAGTCAGTTTTCTTCTCCTAGCATCCATGGAATTGAATGGGAAACTTCGGATATGCTCAACCCTGCTGATGTGTCCAGACTTTCTATCCAATCAAGCCGACGATCCAGCACAGAATCCTCTGAGCATAGAGACTTTGAGAAAGTTTCTAACAGTGGATCAGAGGGCACGCCACCAAGCTTGCCAGCTAAACAGAAACCTCGTCTTGAGAGGCATTTATCAAATTATGATAATGTGGATCCCGAGGAAGCCGAAGAACTGTCTGATCGATGTCAAAACCTTCAGGATGCAGTGTTCAGTGTTGGAATGTCTCAAGATGATGGCAGTAATCATAGAGACTCTTATCTTAGTGGATATGATGATGCTGATCACTATGATGACAAACCGCCTCCTCTTCCACCTAAACAGATCAAGCATAGTAAGTAACCAAAAATAATCAGATAAGATAAAAGGAGTTTGAGAACATCCGTCTCTGGAAGTTTTTAATGCTGAAAGTAATTATTTCAACTAATTGACATTGACACTGAGGGTAAAAAAGAAGATAATTTGCAATTCCCTGAATTGGACGGACTGTCATCAGACATTGGCTGTTATCAACTTTGCATTATTATTTTGGAACTCTGCCCACACATATTTCAAGATATATTTTTCATCTGTAAGCCATACATGTATGTTATCTCAAAACACCCGGTAACAACATCAAGAAGTTATTTGTTATATTTTGGTTGATAACTGTTTTCTTTGATTTCCTCTCAGTCAATACATATATGGATCTAGTACATGGTTACTCAGGAGACCAGTTTGAGATGACTTACTATGAACATCAGCCAGACGATAGTCCTGCCCCAGACAGTTTCTTTCCCAGTGGTAACTGTCAGTACATACAGAGCAGAGAACAGTTCTTCCTGGAGACATACAGTAGTAATGACATGATGAATGGTGGCCGACCGGTGTCAGGAGCCAGTTATGCTGAGATTGATGATCGATCAGAGAGTTCAGCCGAAGGAACTTCAGATATGGACCCTCCAGCATTACCGATCAAGAGACGAAGTTCAGCTTCTACGTCACCAGTGAGTGATTTTGTTCTTACCAATGGGGCTTGAATGCTCCTCAAAAGGCAAACTTAGACTTAGTTTCTTGATTGTGAAGAGGCAGTGTTTCACATTGGCGAAAGACAGAAAAACTGAAATCCAGTTGGTGACAGTTTCTTAAAATTGAGACATTTTTCTGTTTTTTTTTGTCAGCCACCGAGAACAAGGCATTACACCAACCCGGAGCGTCCCGTTTTGCCCTTGTACAACCTGAAGAAGAAATCAGAGAGTATGATAGAAAGCGGCAATGAACCAAACGTGTAAGCATTTGAAAAATGTCAAAATGAAGCATTGTATGCTTATGAAATCCGTCCATTTCATTTTCACTACTAAGGAAGACCAGATATCACGTAACCTAGACATTCTTAACCCTAACACTCCTCAATCCTTCACCTGTTGGAGGACTGAGGAGTGTTAGGGTTAAAGAAGTCTTTTGGTGTAATTCCTGGAAATCATATCATCATCTGTTCCTGTCAGTAATTTGTCACAAATGTTTATTTAATTGCGTTTAAGTGTTACTCCTTGTATGGCCCCACAAACTGCTAGGGATTCTCTGCCTTCACAATGAACCATTTCAACAGGTCATTCATTCTAAGCACCAGACATCATACCAGTTTGTGTTCAGTGCATGTGAGTTGGTGCACTGCTGTCATGAAAGGACCATCACATGTACATGTATTGATAGTCTCAAATGGCTAATAATTTAGTTCATTATGAGCCTTTACTGTCTAAATACAAGACTCGCTTTATCAATGTTAGAGATTTATTAATTGGATTTGTTTCATAAGTGGCTGTTGTGATTGTTTCAGTGTGGGCATTGATCATTTGATCAGCTCCAATCACAAAGCTTCTGATGAGAATAAAGACAAGACAGAAGATGAGACTCAGGAAGATCTTGGGACGCTAGGACTCCTTGATGTATCCAATCAGCTCATCGTTGATTCTGTGGTAAATTGCGTCTTGACATTTTACAATCCAGTGCAATAGTTAATACACCCGATACAGTGTTTAAGTTCAGTCAGTTACCATTTATGAACCTCTGGCTGGCTGTGCCTCGTACCCATATTAGATCATTACATTTTGTGCATAGATTGCTTGGCAAGCCAGCCATTGGTTGACAAACTAGTCTCTGATGGAACCTGATCATAAATAGTACCGAGAAAAATCTACCCAAAATCCATTATTTTTCTTGGGGTAATTTTTGAATGCAGATTTATGGCAGAGAGTCATATACTACATGTGTTAAAAGTCACTGGCACGACTGTGCTACAATGCAGCCAAGAATCTTACCAGCAGATGAGAAGGAATTAGTGTGTTGTGACAGAAAAGTCAGTGGAGATACTAATGGTTAATACACATGTTGTAGTGGATTGGATTCAAACCAGGATCACTGCAAATGAAAGCCATAGAAATAACTATGTTTTTTTCCTGACCAGCCTTTGAGTGTTACCACACTTCTAGACTACCTTGTTTTGTGTTTTTGTATGTTTAGGATGGAAAGACTCAAATCAAGGGGGGACCAGTAGATTCTTTGATCGTGTATGCAGCTGATGCAGACAGAAAAGGTAAGCAAATAACATAACAGCTTTGGTCCTTAGAACCTTCAGATTTGTGTTCTTTTCAAGTATGATTTAGGGTTTTAGATGTCAAGGTATGATTGAATTCTTTGGAAGTTTTTCTATTGAAATTTCACCCCCTTTTTGGTCATTATAATTTCTTTTCAGTAACATTTTACAGGTCTTAAGACCTGTACCTTGCCATGAGATTACAGGATTTTCATTTAAGAATTATTATTGTTGTGTTGTCTGCAGACCTCTTCTACTATGAAGCATTCCTAACGACGTACAGGATGTTCATCAAATCCAATGATCTACTAGATAAGCTACTGAGCAGATATAAGAAGTATCGTCATAAAACAGATATGAAGTCCAAACGCGCCAATCGCAACGCATTCTTCCTGCTACTACGGGTAGCAGGAGATCTAATGTGAGTACATTATTTATATTTTATCATTTTTGCTGACTGTGTGATGTGTTAATGTGCACATGTTGTTGCTTAAAATAGTAAATGATGTTTTTAAGACCTACAGCTGTCCTTGATAAATTTGTTCCCGGATCAGCATTTTTGGTTGAGATTAGCCATCGAATTTTTCAGAGTAAAAACAAAAACAAGTCTCATCATTTAGTGAAAAACAAAGATTACAACACCAGACTATTGTTACTCATTCTTTGTTCAGTAATGGAGTGATGTGGGTTTGGATTGACCTTTGACCTTGGTACCATCTCTCTTATGTTCAGTGAGCTGAGATAATCCATCTCCCTCTTTGTCATCCACATAATTGCATCCAATTGATAGATTGATGAGAACTCTTCTTTTTTCAGAGGCCAAGTAGAAGATGACATCTTGAAGATGCTAATGGAACTTGTCTTTCAACTCCTGTGTGATGGAGAGCTGATGCTGGCTAAGATTTTAAGGGATAAAGTGTTGACCAAGATTGATGACAACAAACTTGCACTTCAGCTCAGCAACAAACTCCCACTGTCTGGACTTGGAGTCTCTGTCATGTAAGTACATTCTTGCTAAGCTGTTAGCACTTCATGTCTTGTTCATTCAGAGAATGTGTGAGGGGAACATTGACAAATTTTCTCAAGTCAGCCTTGATCTTGACCTCTTCTGCTTCCTGGTGTAGATGGCCTAACTAGGTCCACTGCAGCATTCCTTTAACATTTGCAGGGTTATCGACTGTGACGTGATTATTCCATCTCATATAAGTTACCTGATTTTGTCTTCATGCAGGAAAGCGACACTGCTAGATTTCAGCAGTCTAGAATTAGCAGAGCAGATGACTATTCTTGACTCGGAGTTGTTTCAGAAGATTGAGATCCCTGAGGTTTTACTGTGGGCCAAGGAACAATCTGAAACATTGAGCCCTAACCTGACAATCTTCACAGAACACTTCAACAAGGTGTCCTACTGGTAGGTTATACTGTGTACACTTACTTTGGGACTCATTGACCTTGACTTGTGTTTCCCAAAGCTTGCTTAAAAATATTCTGCAATAGACTATATTTGATACCTCAGGCAAAAGTTTTTATGAAATTTGATATACAGGAGGAAATGATACTGGGAAATTTCAAAGATTAAATTACATATAAAAGCAAATTAACTATGTGTACTTTTATTGTGAAGCAGGTGAAATATTATCAGCTGTAAATGCCTTCTTCCATAGATTTTTGTAGAGAGTTTTATAGTAAATGGGTTTAAGCAGAAACTTTAAACATTTGTTTGTTAAATAGGGCACGATCGTTGATCCTTCAAGAAAGTAAACCCCAGGACAGGGAGAAACTTGTCATAAAGTTTATCAAGGTCATGAAGGTAAGAAGTTTACAAATATTCTAAACATGTGTTTTTACACCTCATGTATTGCTTTTTTATTCGTGTAATGAAAAGTTCCCCATTAATGTTAACGTTGCACATCATAAAATGTGGAGGAATAAGAAGCATGTTTCTTCATTTGGACCATATCATCTTTCCCTCATTCAAACTGTATCAACAGACACAAAGATGTCCTCAATGACGTACGAGTCCTCAGACATCCGGTATTAATTGTCTATTTTCATATTACATTTCCTGTCTTCTTAAAAAAAAAAAAGAATTGCGTAATCCACATCCTGCCGCCCATATTTCCGGTCGGTGATAGACTTTCATGTTTCATTTTACACTGTTGATTTGTTGTGTTGATGAGCTACATGTAGTAAGTTTGATGACTGCCTTTGTTTCATGTCACCGGAAAAATCACACAAGTTTAGAACCCTTGCATGTTATTTTTCATGTTTTTGTTTGTTTGAAGTCGTGCCATGTGGATGATTTAAACTGTTTCATAAACCCACTCTTGTAGTTTTGTTGTGAACATTTTTGTAGCATTTTCTGCTCTAGGATAACCAGCCATAAATAGTCATGCTTTTTATATACTGACTATACTTAATCCTGTTATATTTACCTGAAGCAAAAAATGTGGAAGTACAACACCACACGTCCATATTTGGTTAGAATTACTGTATGCCATTTTGTACTTGAAGTGAAAACTTCTGCTCAAAGATTGAAGTATTGATCCAAATGTCTGCAGAAAATAGATTCTCCAATAGAACCTACTCTCCTCCCCCTGAGAAATCCACCAGGACTCTTTCATGATGTGATTGTAAAGAAAGATTAGGGGTAAAGTAAAGATTGGCAAAGATTCCATGATGTTTATGAAACACATTTGTATTTCTCTACTTGATAGCATCTGAGGAAGCTGAACAACTTCAATTCCTACCTAGCCATTCTGTCAGCGTTGGACTCTGCTCCTATCAGGAGGCTGGAGTGGCAAAAGCAGACGGTGGAGGTAAATCCTTGAAATCAGTAAATTGAATATGATCACATCTGGAAAATCGTCAATTGCTGATGAAAATGAGCAAACTATTGTCTAAGCAAAGGGTGTGCGCTGACGAGGAATGATTCTAGAAAACTGTACTTTTATCATTTATGTTACAACATACTGGTCTAACTAACCTATCTGTGACATCCAATCTTTCAAGTCATTCTTGTAGAACCTGCTGAGTTTTTCTTTTGTGTCTGTTTCTTTTTGATGTGAAGGGTTTGAAAGAATACTGCCAATTGATTGATAGTTCGTCATCCTTCAGAACATACCGAGCAGCATTGGCTGAGGCAGAGCCTCCCTGTATTCCATACCTGTGAGTAGTGTCTGTTAGATGGTCAAACTGTCTGTGTTTATGTCTTGCCATTGTACCATTGTCATTTTGTTAAGTAGTGTGTAACTGTAAATCTGTTTATTGGCAGTGTGCATGAACAGTTGAGGGCAGTATTTGGCAGTATCACCAAAGCCAAATAATTGTATGCATGAACACCAGCAAAAGCTGAGTACGTTTTACCCTCAGTCGACCAAAACTGTGCAGACATTCAACATCAAGTTGTCTGTAGTTCAGAAGTAATCTTGTACAAGCCACACATCAACAGATTGAAAGTTCCTCACTAATATTCAATGTTTTGAGAGTCCTGGTATCTAACTTTGCTCTGGTTTCTGTCTCTCCTTTCTTCAGTGGTCTGATCCTTCAAGACATCACCTTTGTCCACATTGGTAACCCAGACCATCTCCCTGATAGTCATCACATCAACTTTACAAAATGTTGGCAGTTCTACAACATCTTGGACAGTATGCGCAGATTCAAGCAACAGTAAGTGTCTTCAGTATTGTTGCTCTTCTTGTGAGTTGATTGGACGTGATTCCAAAAGAATCTGTTCTCACAGATTACATTGATATTTAATCACTTGCTTACAGTGCTGTACCATTACAAATACTTACTGAATTAAGTATGGATGATAGGTTCTGCTTAAATCACATCATACGAATAAAATCCATGACTAGTTTATCTTATTACAAATTTGGAAGTTAGTAAACAATTAATTGCTTTCCTGATTTTTGCCATTTGCAGTCACTATGACAACCTGAGGAGTTCTCCCAAGATACTGGCCTTTTTCAATGATTTCATTGATTTCTTGGATGAGGAATCGATGTGGCAACTGTCTAAGACCATCAAACCTCAAGGTAGTGGACGACCCAAGCCAGCTTCCTGAAGGATGAAGGGCAAGGATCAAAGGTCAATGAGGTAGGGAAGGCAGTTTTGACGTTGATGACTTACATCCTTGGCGCCTATCTGATTCAGCATACCAAGTGGTACTACTACACCTTCGAAGAGTGTGGCGTCAGCTCAAACTTGCTTAGTGCAATTGATAGTCTCCTATTTATCCACCCGGGGCTCCTCTGCAGAGTATCAAACTGAATGATTTTGTCTTGATCTTATCTGACAGTTCTCTGGGGTAAAAACAGCAGTGGTATCTACAACATGTCTGTATTTAAAGAAATAACAGGGTATTTTTTATGTCTTTACTGCTAAGGATTTGAAAGACCTTTTTATTGACCAATGAAATTGTTTCAAGCTTTCAGGATCAATCACTTTTCCCCTTTTTGCTGCCAAATATGATTCAGACTTTGTGAAGCCTCGTTCTTTCAAGGACATGTATAGCACTTTGTTTGTAATACATGTATTGATATGTTTCTGCTGTGTATAGTGGCATAAACTGTAAGGATCTAGGATCATGGCAAATCCCCCAAAGCACCTGTTAAATTCTAATGACAAATCATGTTTGGTCTTAGTGATGCACTGACAACTAAAGGACACCAAATCTGTCAAGAGAGAGTCTAGGTAAATGAGCAGTCATTCTGACAGGAGAGTGAAACAGTCAAATTCCTCAAATCCTGGGATTGTTTGACTTCGTCATTTTTGATTATTTCAAAGGAAACAAAGCTGGTCTTGTTTCTAGTTTCTAAGACAGGATCAAGTACAAGTATACATTGACCTGCATGTGTCAGTGGTTGTTCATACTTTTTTCCTCTTCACATAAGAAGGCCAGTATTAGGTATAGGGAGAAGTGGTAAATATTTAGCTAAGCTGTATTGTGTTATAACTGGACTTGTTGAATGTAAGAAATTTTAAATGTTAAATTGGCAGAACAGATAAAAATATCTCTATATTTGTGAATGATTTTTCCCGCTGCTTGTACATGTATTGTGGAGTAATATTTAACTATTATACAAATTCCTTGTACTACTTTACTCCCATTTTGTTGAATTACTGAAACATTTACTAGGAAGGCATGCATCTTAGACTTGGGGGGATGAGGAAACTCCAATCTTTACAAGACTTTGTACAGTGTTTTTTAATTATCCATGGCATGAGTATGAAGTAAAAACGAGGAAATCAGCTGATCTGAGGAAACGTTACATGCCTGAGGAGGGGTGCGTTCAGTAGTGACGTAAGTATGCTGTATTGGCAAAGCGTGTATCGATGTGCACTTATTGTACTGTTGAAATTGGTCCAGTAAGTTGTAATATTATGTAACTATGCTGGTCTATTTTGTAAATCCTACAAAATCCAATAAACTCCAACTGAATAAGGAGATTCTTTTACATCTGAGAAATGAATCAAAAGATTGTGCTTCATTCTGTTTCTTCACTGTGTTGCAGTTGGCAAGTTTCACAACATGCTGATGTAGAAATTTATGACGTTTATCAAACCTCGTATTTGCAGCTGTTGAATTATGGGAGTAAGGTTGTCGAAAAGCTTTTAGAACATTGACAATCTAATCCAGGATGGGGATTAAAAATGTGACTTTGTGTTGACAGGTGCGAAGTGTTTGACCCGTCGTTAATGGAAAGCCAGATTGCAATGTACTAGTAGTAACAATCATTATTGAGCTGCCACTGTAATGCTGTTCTGAATGGATATATTTAAATTGTACTTTCTCATAATAATCCTCAATTTGTATGTAAATCAGTCATACAGTATTTGCTTATCCATGATTTAATTATGCAAACTTCTGTAAAAAATGCAAGTGAATTTGAAAGCACCTCTGCCAGTGTTGACTATGCATGTAGATATTTCAGAGGCTTTTAGATAAAAATGCAAGATTATACAAGATAGACTATAGTTGAGTTACAGTTCTTGTCAAATATCTGGTTCAAAAGAGCTGCCTTTTTGGAAACATTACATTAAAATTAAAAGGGAGTTCAATGCAGAAGTGTGTCAAAAATTGAATTAACTGCCACAACCTCCCCAAATACATGTATGTATTTTTTGCCTAAATGTGCCACAAGCACCAGAACTAAGAAACTGTAAATAACTTGTAAAACTAAGAACAGCTCAAAGCCAAACTTGTCAGGTACATGTATGACTTAGTTACCAATGTTCATATCAACTGATCAGCATTTTATTGTTATGCAAATGAGGTGAATGGTAAATAGCATCAGGAAAATCGTTCAGTGTTTCAGGGAAGAATGGCTGAAACAACTGGTTTGTAAGTTTGATTGTAATTAAAGCTTGATTTTGGAAATTGCACTTTATTTGCATGAACACTTAAAAAGAAAAAAGGAAATGAATGTTTTGAAAGAACTGTGAGGGCTATGCATGTATTTTATGAGAGTTTAAATTTATTAAATTTAAAGGCAACATTTTTCACCTCAGATAGCTTGTCCAGATTTGTTTTGGGTAGAATATCACATGGAATTTTAAGTGTTTTCAAATCAACTCAGACAAAAGTGGTTCTTGTTTTATTCTCATGTGTCAGTTTTAACATTTTGTTTTCTATTTTATTCTTTCCGAACTTTCTTCTTATTAAAATGTGCAGGCTTATATGGCTAGAAGTATGAAGACTTGTGATTTTAATACAAAGCACTGTTTTACTGAGATAATAATGGAATGTGGACAAGTGTCAACTTTCACTCTTGTCTGTAATTTTTGTAAGCCAAATTTGTGTTTAGACTGCAATTTTGTCACTGTCTATAGTTGGTATTGAAATCTGTATGTGTCTGTAAATACATGTATTATATATACCAACCTAAACCTAACAGTTTTAGAGATGTAATTGCGCTAGCCCAATTGGCAGTGTACAGTCTGTAACAAGAGAAGCATTTATTGAATTATAATAAAAATTGATGGAAAAAAGGAAAGCTTCATGCATACATACAAAGAATTTTGCCATTCTTCCTTTATTTCTATACAAAGTGTCTGTCTTTGAAAAACAAATGTGCCGTTAAGTTTATACCCTGCTTTATGACATCATGCCTTAGAATTTCGGAGGGTGTTGGTGAAGACTTCATTGTGGTTGAGAAATGCTCTTGGATACTCCGAATGAATCACATTAACAATTTGGCATCTCTTTATGATGGGCCTCATGTGAACAAGACAGATCAATGATGTCCTTTGTGGATGACACCTCACATGTGTATCCTTAATCACTGACGTGGTAGAACACACAATGATTAGGCTAATTTGTAGAGTTTTGGCTCGGCACATTGCACCAATGGTATTTCAGGTGTCGGTCTCACTGCCCTCTGACCCTCTAAGTGGTAATTTATGCACAAAGCCCATTGGGCAGTGGTTTTTGGGAAGAGCATTAAACCCTAAATGCAGATACTTAAGTTAAAAACCACACTTTAAAATATTCACAGTTGCCACTATGTACAAAATGACAGTCACTGACTCCAATTGCCAGAGTGCATGACCTAGGATGTACAGAGCATCCTCCATTGATGCAACATTCCTTGGCAAACCATGCCTTTCTTGCTGAGCCTTATTTGTCACAGCAGGTCGATGAGTGTTAAGCATCATTAAACTGGAGTTCATGGTTACCAAGGTAGCAGCATTCCCATGCATATCACCATGGCTACGTCTCACAAACCAGGTCACAGAAAGTTTAATCATATGCATCCAGCTTGAAGAAAATGTTTACAGGAAGATAGTGTCCAGACTAATGGTCTGTCTCAATTGATTCCAGGAAATAAAACCAGTTTTTAAATCACAAACCAGGTCACGGAAAGTTTGATCATATGCATCCAGCTTGATGAAAATGTTTACAGGAAGATAGTGTCCAGACTAATGGTCTGTCTCAATTGATTCCAGGAAATAAAACCAGTTTTTAAATTCCGTTCCTCAGTTGTTACAATGTACACTAAGTTTTTTTTGTGGAATGGTATGATTGCAATAATTACATGCATGCTCATAAGCCAGGATTTATCATTTACAATTTCATATTTTTGGCCCCCCAAAAAAGTATAGCGATGGTTTCTTCTGCTGAACATGCTGAACTGTCCTCTTTAATACAACTTTCCAAAATTGTTTAAGTTGGGGTTTATAGAGCGTGGTGGTGGTGATCACTTGTCCTTGTCGATCAAAGTTCCCTTCGTTCTTGCTTTCTTGGCAAATTCCTCTCTTAATGCCTATGGAAATAATGGAAAATAATAAAAAGAATAATGCGCTTTTTAAATGTACAGAGAAAAAGCAATTTTCCTGGTCTTCTAAGTAACTGGAAAAACCTACCTGACTTTTTGTATCGTTTGTTACAAACTATATCTAACCTTCAAATTAAATTTTCTAGCTAGTGATTGGATAACAAGGTTGTTTTTTATCATACCTCATCTGTTTTTCTCTTTGCCATGCCTTTTCTCTCCAGTTGCTTCTCAATGACTCGAGCGTTACTTGCATAGGAGTCAGCAATTTCACGCTACATAGGGAAGATGAAATCCAACATATGAAACATTCAAGTCAAATCAAGTATACAGTGTCTTTGGAGAGCAAATACATGTAAATATTTCATAATCATGAAAGAATTGAAAGTGAAAGCAAATAAACTCAGGGTCCAAAAATCAAAATTCTGGATTACAAATATTTGTTCTAAGTACTGTTTTAAGACTCAGATTAAGATTGGAAAGACTTAAACTGGAGTTAAATTTTTCTCATTTTTCCCCCACTCACTGCTTCAATCTCTTCCTCTTCTTCATCAATGGTGGAGACAGTTACTGAGGCGTACTTGCCCATTTCTTTGGTCTTCTTAGTTAACATCACCTGTGAGTTGCAAGAACAGGGCAAGTATCAACTGGCAGGGAAAAAAGGCAGAGGTGGTAGGCAAATTCTTCATGCAACAACGATAGATAAGAGTTGACCAATTTGTTAAGTCTTGAGCTATTTATTAACTCAAAATGACCGTGTTAAACACTACACTTTCTCACTAAATGTAAAGTAAGCTTTCATTCAAGAGTACACAAACAGAACCCTATCACAGCCAATCTAAGTGGGGAGAGTCTAGTTTACCTTTTTGGGTACAGCTTTCTGTATCACCAGTGGTTCTTTGATGGGTCCTTTATCAGGTTCAAAGACAGCTCCTTCTACAACGAATGTTACAGTTGCATCTTTCTCTTTGTGTTGGTAAAACAGAAGCAAGCCACATCTGAAAACAAACCAAATGAAAGATTTAAACATATCAATACTTGGAGAGTAGTAATTATATGTAAGAAGACAATTAGGTTTTCCCACATTTTTTCCAAGCTGTACTACTATTAAGAAGGAATATTTCATGACTCACTTTTTACACTTTTTCCTTAACTGCTTTTCAATGCCACCAGGTCTGCAAAGAAACAATGAAATGAATAAAAATAAAAATGTAACAAAGAATACTTGAAAGAATAGAATACAATGCAAATCTATCTACTGATAATCATAAGGTTTGGTACCTGAAAATTAATAAAAAAAGATAAAGGCGTTTTCTCGTTAAGTTACAGTGTGGTGCTTTTGCTCGCTATGGTTTGAACTCTTACCTTCTGAGATGAATTGTTTCATCAGGGTCACAGGTTAACTTATGGACATGTTTAGCACTGTCAATTACTCTTGCGTTATCAGTCTTCCTGAGAGGGAGCTTTTCTATGGAGCAATCTAAAAATACAAGTCGCAATAAGAGAATAAAATTTTGAGTTATTTTGCTAATTTGAACATAAAACAAGTACGGACTGCTCATCAATGGAGGGTCAGCATGGAGCACCAGCACAGGAGAATGTTTTGTTGGTTAGATTTAAATGACAATGAAGTACTGTACTGTCTACTCAAGCATATCACACATGAACAAAGATCTGTCTTCTGTGAGGGTGCTCTGCGCAGGCCCTCTATAAGACTGTTGGTTACCCCTAGAAGACTAGAATTATTGGAGTTCATCATCACAAGTAGGAGTGTGGTGT